ACAGCTGCAGTTGGCAACGACGCTCACGACGACCCGAAGCGCGACCGGCCGGACCTTTAAGGTTGGCGATTGCTCGACTCTCGCGGCGCTGATGGAGGGCGGCTGGCTGGACAGGCTCCAAGCGCTCCGCCTTGAGGTGCCATACCTAGGAGTGGCGGGCTTTCGACCGATCTTCGAGGCGCTGGCCGGTGGCGCGCTTCCGAAGCTGCGCCACCTCAACCTCTCCCACAACATCCTTGACGAGGGGGGCGGCTGCATTTGCTCGGCACTCTCACGCATCAGGCTACCGGCGGGGTGCGGCTTGTCTCTCAGCAACAACCGCATCACCAGCGACGGCGTGGTCGCTCTGGCCGGGGCGTTGGCTCGCGGCGCGTTTCCATCGCTGGTAGCCCTGGACCTGTCCGACAACGACATCGACGGCGCCGGCGTTGAGGCGATCGCCGAGTGCGGCAGGATGGGCCACCTCAGGTCGCTCCAGAGTCTGAACCTGGATGGCAATGACGGCACCACCGCCGCCAGCATCGACGTGCTGGCCGCGGCGCTCCGCGCTTGGGGCACCTTCCCCGCGCTAAAGAGCATCTACCTGCCTCACGAGGCCGCCGATTTCGGGCCGGCGGGTGCCCGTCTTGTCGCGGTGTGCAATCGCGAGCGAAACGTCGGGCTCTCCTGGATTTGAGATTTTCACTCGTTTATTTATCACACACATGTGAACATGAACCTGCAACCTCCCGCACGCACGCCTTATCTTCAAAAAATACTCCAGGGCCTCGGTGCCAATCGTGTCGCGTGGACGTCCCTTCGTTCGTCAGCGCGTCCTCTGCGTCGATGTGGCTAGACTACTCGCAGAATCCCTATCATTGAAAGTAGCAACCGGGTCGCGCTACACGCTCTCCGAATGGGATTTTCTGCCCTGCCCCTGTCGCAGCCCCGGCTGCCTCCCGGAGGCCCGCCCGGCCATGCAATCCGCCGCCGGACCGCCCGGCGGGTCCAACCCGAAGCGGGCGACCGGCCGTTCGCACCGCTCGGCCGACGGGGCGAGCCCCGCGGCCCTCGATCGCTCGCCCCGGAAGTGGCCCGACCGGCCCACGCGCACGGCCTGGCCTCTACCGCCACTTTCGGCGGCGCAATTTGCGCCTTCATCGCTCTCTGGATCGTCCTGGCACCCATCGGACTCCTCCCGACGGTCGGCGGCGCCCACTCCGTGCACTTTGAGTCAGACTCGCTCTTCGGCAGGCACGCTCTTCGGCGAAAAGTCGCCGCCGGCTGTCCACGCCGAGCCAGCCAGTTGCCGGCTCGCACGGCAGCCTCTTCCTCTCGACCAGCCTCAACTTCGACACGGTCATCATTTTGTCGCTGCGTGCTCGTGGCGAGCCGGGCGGCGGTCAAAGTTTGCCCAGACGAGCGCCAGGCGATAGTCCCGTCTCTGTTCGCCCTGTGCATGTCAGGCCAGGCTGCAGCGGGGCACGACCATCGTGCTGCCCTGTTGCAGCCTGACGTTTCCCACTGTGCACAGCCGCCAGAGCGCCACCACCGCCCGGCATCGTGTCACGGCGAGCTCCTTCTGCACCCGTTCGCGAGGCTCTTGCGCTGGCACACTTCGGCCTTCCGCTGCTCGCGTTCGGCGAGCTCTTCTCCGCACTCCTGCCGCGGTGCCGTCGCCACACACCTTCTGGCCGGCCTGAGCCACGCGGACTCGACCTCTCTCTCTCTCTCTGGTGCACGCCACGGGCCGCGGAGGCAGCGTTGCTGGCACAGTCGAGCTGGAGTATCCGCTTCTTGATGCTTCTGCGGTCAAGCTTGACCTTATGTGACATTGAACGGTGTGTGTGATCCTGCACC